GCGGGAGTACCGCACCCTGGGCAACGGCACCCGGCGCTTCTCCAACGTAGGGCTGGTGCACACCTCGGAGCGCCGGCACACCGTCATCGCCGCCCAGAGCCTGGAGGCCCTCACCGGCCTCCAGAAGACGGAGATGGAGCGCAAGAGGGACGCCTTCATGGACCACCTGAAGAGCAAGTACCCGCAGCACGCGCTGGCGCTGCGGGGGCAGCAGGAGAGGATGCGGGACCAGGTGAGGGGGCGGCGCCTGCTCGGGGAGATGGGGTGAGGGGGGACAGGGAGCCCTTTGTGGTCCCTTAAGGGCGGCTGGAGGGGAAGGGGCTCGTGTGGGGGGCTTGGGTGGAGCGTGAGATTGGGGGGGAGGGTGGTTGTAGCGGCCTCGGAGGTGGGGGAGCATCCCCCAGGTGTGAGGATGAGAATTCCATAGGTGTGAGGATGAGAGTTCCACAGGTATGAGCATGAGCATCCCCCAGGTGTGAGGATAAGGATTCCACAGGTGTGAGGAAGAGCATCCCCCGGGTGTGAGGATGAGAATTCCACAGGTGTGAGGAAGAGCATCCCCCAGGTGTGAGGATGAGCATCCCCCAGGTGTGAGGATGAGCATTCCATAGGTGTGAGGATGAGAATTCCACAGATATGAGCATCCCCCAGGTGAGGATGAACATTCCGTAGGTGTGAGGAAGAGCATCCCCCGGGTGTGAGGAAGAGCATCCTCCATCCCTGGAGGGCAGCACCCCCTCTCTTCCCAGGACTGGGGCTCTCCCACATGGATTTATCCTGCAAACCCTGACTTTGCTGGGGAAGGGGCAGCCTGACCCCCCTGCCTGACCCCCCTGCCTGGGAGCTGCCTGTGGGATGCCAGTGCCTCCCCCCTTGGCTGCCCAGGAAGGGGCTGGGGAGCTCAGGGGGGCTGCAGGACAGGACAGGCAGAGGCAGGGAGGGGCTGTGGCTCTGCCCCAGCACGTGTGGGATGTGGATGGATGAGGCGTGCTGGGGGTTGGCACCGTGCCCATGCCAGGACATCCTTTGGTTGTGTTCCCCGGGGACACTCCGAGCCAGTCCTCGGAGCAGGTGACACATCTGGGAGCCCTTCTGAAAGCAGCAGAGCCCAAGGGATGAACTATCCCTGGGGGTGACACCCCTCCCTGTGCCTGGGGGTGCCCTAGGGGTGCAGGGCACCCCAAATCCCCCTTGTCTGGGTACCAGCGAGGCCGTTTGGTGATGAATCCCCACCCGAGCAGGGTGAACACGGAGCCATCCGGGGGAAGTGGCTGGGAGGAAACCTCAGATCATCCCCCACAGACCCCGAGGGAGGGAGGGAGGGAGGTGACGGCTCCCAGACCTGGCACAGCCGAAGGGAATCCAGCTGTGTCAGGAAAATCAGCAGCCTCGCTGCCTCCTCGGAGCCCTCACCTGCCTGGCACTGCCCCCCACGCCCCCAAACACCCAAATTTTGGCTGAGGGATGATTATTGACCAGCCCCACACAGGGTACACTCCATCTCTGCCTCTTATGAGGTGGAGCAGGGACATTCCCAGGCACAGGGTGGTACTTCCCAGTCAATAAATAGGATTTTTTTTCCTGTTATTACAGCGATTTAAGGACTTTTCTTTTTTTTTTTTAAATAAGCGGCGGCTACGAAAAAAAAAATCCAGCTTGTGTTGGCTCAGGGTCTGATCAGCTGCAGGGGGTTTTTATAAGGTGAAAGAAAGATGATCTGGATTCTGGAATTACCTGCTGGGGTGGTGGGGGGGTGTCTGGGCATCTCTTGGCACCGGGCAAACCCCGCCAGGATTTTTGGGTCCCATCACTCCCCCACCACGAGCATCAACTATTTGCAATTGGTACAGAAATCAGAAACACCCCAAAATCCTACAAAATCCTATTTTTCTTCCTTTTTTTTTTTTTGGCCCTCTTTTTTCCCCTTTTTTTCTTAATTTCCCCCACAGGCAGTAAATAATAAAGAGGGAGAAATGAATCTAAAAACCCCTGGAAACCTCAGGTGCCAACCTTTAAATGACATTGGGATCCGGCACTGGCTCTGCCTGAAACATCTGAAACTCGCTTTGCTATTCCAGGGGAGCCCGGAAGGTGTTTCAGATCCCAGGCTTTGCTGTTTTATTGGGATTTTGAAGACAAAATTATGTCTAAGAGAGTTGGTAACATCAGAGGTGAACAGTAGCATTCCACAAATGTCAACAATCCCTTTTTCAGCCTGGCTGAGCCCGCAGCAAAAAGCACGGGAGTGGGAAAGGGAGAGAAATACTCGTTTTGAATTTGTGTGTTTAAAACAGAGCAGGGAAAATGAAAAAAAAATGCAGGGGAATAATTGTAGCAACCCCCATCAGAGCTGTGGCAAATCTGAGGAGAGGCCCGAGGAGGCAGATTTAAAATCCAGATGGGAGAAGGCGCTGAATGGGAATATTAATGATAAAGAGAGGAATGGGAATGGGAATGGGGATGGGGATGGGGATGGGGGGCTGCTGGAGTGTGTTGGCTGTGGGAACTGGGGGGAAAATCCTGCCCTGGGAGGGGTAAATCCGGCAGGAGGGGGGTGGAAGTGGATGATCTTTAAGGTCCCTTCCAACCCACAGTGTTCTGTGGTTCCATGGTTGATGCTCTGGGAGTTGGGATTTGTCCAGAGGTGCTCCGTGGTGCCTCGTGTTGAGTACACAGAAAGTTAGGAACTGCTGGAAAAATGAGGAATGAGTTAGAAAAATAAGGGACAGGTAGGAAAATAAAGAAAATGATTTTATGTTATTAGGAAAATAATATTGTGGTCCGTCCCTGGTTCTGATATTCCCGTTGCTTTGGGATGTGCTTTTCCCACACGGGGCTCAGCGGGTGCATAAGGACTGGGAACGTGTGGCTTTGTGCAGATGGATTCTAAATCCTAGGAAAAACAGGGATTAGGGACTCATTTCTTGTCCGTAACCTGTGAAAAGCTGTGTTGGGATTAGACCTCTTCTGAGAGGACGCAGGGTGGGGTTGAGCCCCGGGGCTGGGCTGGAGCTGAGGTGTCCCTCAGTCTGCTCCCAAAAAATCCGGAATCTTGGATTTCAGCTCGTCCAGTTGTGCTGCAGGGAAAGGAAAAAAAAAAAGGAAAAAAGGCCAGGAAAAGGCTGGAAAGGCTGGAAAGGCTGGAAAGGCTGGAAAGGCTGGAGCTGAGTGTTGGGAACGTGGTGGTGGCCGCCTGACGGCAGCAGATTTGCAGCTGCCCGGGATAAATCCGCCTGTGGAATGAATAAATAAGAGGCAGTGTGGATGTGCGGCCCCCAGGGACCCCCAGGGACCCCCAGCAGCACCCAGGGGGGGGCATGGGGGGGTATGGGTCATGAGGGGGGGCATGAGGAGAGGGCAGGTAGGGATGAAGGTTGGGATGAAGGCTGGGATACAGGAAGGGATGAAGGTTGGGATGCAGGTGCCCATCCCTGTGTGCGCATCCACGTGTGTGTGAATCCATGCCTGAATCCATGTGTGATTCCCAGTGCCCATCCCTATGCCCATCCCTGT